CTCTCTCTCTCTCTCTCTCTCTCTCTCTCTCCCCCTCTCTCTCTCAAACACATACACATATTGATTTCGTAATGCGTCTAGTGCTGCCTTTGGTCCGGATACATTCGTAATTCGCAGGCCGAATGTATGTAGTTCGTCGACTACGCCAGATGTCTTCACACTTTTCGTTGGCCTGCGAATTACGAATGTATTCTCCCCTTGCATGGAGGTCCACAGTTCGTCCGCGACCTCGGAAAGGTTGAAGGCTACCCTCCCCTTGCCCTCCCTACCCTGCACAAAATTGCATCGACTTTTCCTCCCGCGGTGGTTTCCAGGTAGGAAACCGCGTGAAAACACGACATACAGCGTTTCTAAGGCCGAGAAGCCCCTCACCTACCCTGTTAAAAAAAATTCACCTACCGACTGAGCTACTCCAAGCACCTACGGACCGAGTCACTGCAAGCATCTACTGATCGATGCACTCCAAGCACCCACCGACCGAGCCACTCCAAGCACCCACCAACCGAGGCACTGTAAGCATAAATGTCTGCACGCACCAATCGACTGAGGCACTCCAAGCACCTACCGACCGAGGCACTCCAAGCACCTACCAACCGAGTCACTGGAAGCACCTATACCGACTGCAAGCACCTACCGACCTAGCCACTCTAAGCATAAATGTTTGCACGCACATACCGACCGAGGCACTCGAAGCACCTATACCCTGCCTATCCTGTGTGTGTTCTGTATGTGGTGAAGCAACATATGGATCCAAGTGCAACGAGAAGCCCCCTGCCTACCCTGTTAAAAAAAAAAAGAATAATATTTTCGACTATTCGTTACCAAAAAAATAAAATTCATGCGCACTTCTTAGCTGTCGGAGTGCGGGTGTCGTGTGTGGTGAAGCATGAAGTGGATCTAAGAACGTGTAGGGGAGCCCCCCCACCCCTCAACTTGAAAAAAGAAAAAAACATATATTCCTCAGTATATATTGAAAAAAACAAAAACATTCACGTGCACTTCTTAGCGGCCCGGTGCGGGTTTTATGTGTGGTGAAACAAGATATGGATCCAAGTGCAACGAGAAGCCCCCTTGGAGTGCAGGTTTCGTGTGTGGTGAGGCATGAAGTGGATCCAAGTCCGAGTTAGATATCTGACCAGCACAGTCTAGATGCGAGGTGTCGTACTCGTGGAGCTCGAGGAGGATCTTCTCAGCTTTAGCAACGATGAGGTTCAGTTCTTTGTTCTCGATTGCAGACTTTCTACAGACTTCTGCGATATTGGCGGCAAACTCCTTGATCTTGTCTTCGAGCTCATGGGGTCTGGTTTGCATAACAACAACCATTGCGGCCCAGTCGCTGAAGGACAGGTTCTCTATAAGGAAGGGAGTTTGTCTGTTCGAAGCTTGGTGTACACGTAGGAGGACATCAGCAGGGATAGCCAACATGGCTATCTGACAGTGAACGTTGGGGTGCTTGAGTGCGGAGAATGGTCTAATAGCCGTGACCAGCTCCGGGTGCCATCCCATCAGAATACTGTCCTGGTCCTGCACAACGTAACATACGCGGATCGAGAATTAGTGTATGCATGTTAGTAGTGTTCATACGATGTGCGAGCATGGTTATAGGGGGGGTAAGGATCCTAAGTGCCTTAGTGTGGGATGGTGGGAGCAGTCGTAGGTTGGGCATTGCATACGTAGGTATATTTGTTATATATAGGCAATGATCATGTTGCTCGAATCGGGGGAAGGGTACGGTGTAACTGCTGTGTTTTGATGACCATCGTTTAGTTTGTAGTATAGTTATGGATGTCTCAATAGTATCGTTGCAGTACAAAGGGGAACCTGACGGGGTGTTGCATATCTGAGTCTTAGGTGGAACCTAGGTCCGGCAGATTTATAACACTGTATGGTTGATTCAGGGTATAAGGCTGCAGGTGGTAATTCATAAACAATATTTTTTATCTTTTTATTTATTTATTTATTTTTAATTTTTAATTTTTAATTTTTAATTTTTAATTTTTTAATTTTTAATTTTTATTTTTTGTTAAGGAAGTTAATTTATTTTTATAAGTGTTAGAGGTCCTTATTTTGTGTACAGTTGAGGAGGGATCCTAAGCAAGTCATGGTTCGGCCAGGGTCAGGGGGGGGCCCGAGGCAAGACCGGTGTCAGTCTGCTATATTGGGGTTACGGCAGATAGTCCGGGGGGTTGTCCTAATAATCGAAAGATATGTGTGCTTGTAACTTACGTTAAGTTTTAATTATTTTATTTATATATATATATTTATTTATTTGGGAATATTATTGTAATAATTATTTTTGTTATGTATGTTTATTTAAAGATAATCTATGTGAACTGTATTCGTGTTACATACAGGAGCAGCGGGTTATTGTAGTAGTACAGTTTCTGCAAAGAGCATAAAATTGGTGTGGGTAGATAATTTATAGGGGATCATTGGTGGATAACGTTAGTTAGAGGTGGTTATTCGGGTAGGTATATCAGCTGTAAGCCGTTGGATGCCCTTTTCTCAAAAAAACATTAACGGCGTAGTTGTAGTGGTACTATCGGTATTGTTGTAGTAATGGCACAATGAGTGAATGCGGGTAGGGTCCGTCTCATATTATATTTTTAGAAAAACATGTTCCAGGGAGGATTGTCGTCCGAGGCACTTTGATATTTGACGAAAGTTATGCATGATTGTTCTGCGTATCGATCGGGGGGTGAAGGGTTGCCATTATACGCGGGGAGTAGCGGCCGTTTAGGGAATCAATCTGAGTTGGTACCGAAAAAACCATAAATTATAGAAAAAATTGATGCGAATTTAGTCCATTGCTTGGTACTATAAATTTTTACTAAATTATCATAAAATTAGGATTTAATTATTGGTAAAAAAGTCTCTTATTTTTAGTTTATTATATAGTACGTACATGTATAATCTCCCTTTTATGTTTTATATATTTTTTATTTTTTATATTTTATATTTTAATTTTTGTATTGCGAATATTTTGCAATTTTATATATCATTATAAGGAAACAGGGTTACGTGGAGTTACACATGTATTAATCGATAGGAGGTCCATTAATTTGCTACTACTTATCGTTACCTTATATTTGTGTACTACAGAGTATACGACGCAATTTGCATAGGTTATTATAGCATCAGGAGTGAAAGATGCAAGAGGGTCGGGAGGCACACCCGTTTTAGTTTTAATGGGGCAGTATTTGCGGAGGGTACAGCGTGCAGCGTTTTTCGATATTGGACGAAGGTGGGACGGATATTTCAGCATGTTTGGTAAAGATTGTCGGTATAGTACGACGACAGGGTAATTGCTAGGTGTCCGACAAGTATTTAAGGAATCATGAAAGTAGGTTAGCACAAGTTGCGGAGCATTCCCGTTTGTTGCGGAAACGTGGGCAAGCGGTTGCTTATAGGGGCGCTACGGGAAATTCGGTAGCCGTGGGGGACTGGAAGGGTTTATCATTGGGGGGATAGAGATAGATATATAGATAGAGATAGATAGATAGATAGATAGATAGATAGATAGATAGATAGATAGAGAGAGAGAGAGAGAGAGAGAGAGAGAGAGAGAGAGAGAGANAGATAGATAGATAGAGAGAGAGAGAGAGAGAGAGAGAGAGAGAGAGAGAGAGAGAGAGAGAGAGAAAGAGAGTAGAGGAGCCAGAGTGACGAGAAGAGAGGGTTAAGTAGGAGAGAGAGGGGGGGAGAGAGGGGGGGAGAGAGGGGGGAGGGGTGGTAGGGGCGAGAACAGTGGTTGGAAAAGCGCGACTGAGGCGAGAAAGAGGAGAAGGAGAGACGAACTCGGAAGGTGAAGGCGCTATGGATATTGTGACAACATGTGGGGGGGATGTACGGGGCAGGGCAATAGTTGTGCACGAGCTGCGCCATCGTCGGGGAGAGGAGAAGGGATTGGATTACCGGTTCAGTCTCCGGGTTAAGGAATCAACGGTGCGTCATTATCGTGTGACGGCGGATGGCGAACTAGCTTTAGAGTTATGCGTGGGATTGGGGTATGATGGGGAATTCTTATGTGATGTTACTGTATTCGTGAAGAAGATGCACAAGGATGTGCCTGATTCTGTTCCAGGTAATGGTGTTGATGTGGTTGCGGAGATGGTGGAACTAGTGACCAGCGATTTGTTGCAGGAGCATGGCGAGCGTCAAGTGGATTTCATGGTGTGGGAGGCTATAATGGAGCCTTCGTTGCAAGAGCGCAAGGGTATGCGTGGTGTACTACGCATCGGAGACGTTTATCAGTGGTGATTCTCTAGGGCGCGGCAGCGTTTTGCTGGGTAGTCATTTCAGGTGGTCCCAAAGCTTTAGGGGGATTGACGGTATGGTTCCACGTAGTTGTGCGAAGGGGGATTGTCAGTTGTTATGGCCGATTGATGCCGTCTAAGCAGGATGTTCGTATATGAGAACATTAGTTATTGGTGATAAAGTCCGGGCGAAGGACAGTAGTGGACCATCTATTTTTTAGGGGGGTAGTGTAGTAAATGCAGTTGTGTATCTTGGTTTTAACACCATATCTGTTTTCGTATGCGATGAGTCGTTTCTAAAAGTTTGTGCGGCTACTATCATTCACATGAAACTAGAGAGAGGTCCAATGGATGGATATCTGTTAAGTTTTGGCCTTCTCTTTGTATGTGCTGGTTTTGTTCAAGCGTGAGAATTGTCAGTGACCAAGATTTTTGGTTTTCGAACATTTATAAAAGGTTTTTTTCGGAGGAAAGATACAGTGTATTGGGCTTGATTCCAAATGTTGGTTTTTATACATATGAAATAAGTTTTTTTCGGAGGAGAAGATTTAGTGTATTGGGCTTGATTCCAAATGTTGGACTAGATCTATCCCTGCATTTCTTTGTTTGATAAAAGGCATTACCACCGTGTATTGTGCGAGCTATATACAGATCGTGAAAAATGTACAGAAATGTGTACTAATCAAGGCGTTAAAATTATGAGTTGGAGAATTGCGAAAGTACTGGGTATGCTAGTGATGTTTCTAAAAAAATCATACGCATTAAAGAAATAAGAAAATTTATAAAGATTAGGGTGTCCCTCATGAGTCATGTAAGAGTTGTTCGTGCAGAGGGTAGTATTTTAATTACGGGCAGGGCAAAAAGTGCTCGGTCAATCTGGATAGCTTTGCCATTGTTTACAAAGTGGGGAGGGCAGAACAACTTAGGGCAAAAAACTGTAGCACGTAAGCATTCAGAATCAAAGCGGACCTAACCCAGGTGTCTGTCATTGGATAACAGCCAATACACATTTCAAAAAGGAAATCGTCATTCTTTGAATTTCCAAGATCGCGGAGGAATATTTTAAGCGATGGAACTGAGAACCGATTATCACAAGGCATTATTGTTTAGCGAGTTTAGTATTGCTTGAACATGCGGGTTCGTTTAGCGTTTAAACACGCGTAAGCCTCCATATTTACATCTCACAACACATCTCAAAAAGCAATACACATTTCAATAAACAAAACGTTATTCTTTGAATTTTCAAAATCGCGGAGGAAAAATTTTAAGTGCTGGAACTGGGACCCGATTATCACAAGCATTGTAGTACTCAAAAAGCAACCAATACACATCACAGAAAGCGAATCGTCATTCTTTGAATTTCCAATATCGCGGAGGAATATTTTAAGCGATGGAACTGGGACCCGATTATCAAAGGCGTTATTGTTAGTAAGTTTAGTATTGTTTGAACAAGCGTAACCCTCCAGAGCTACGGATCGGAAAGCAACAGTTCAGAAGCCAATACACATCTCAGAAAGCAACTACAAATCTAAAAAAAAGCAACCAATACACATCTCAACAAGGAAAACGTCATTCTTTGAATTTCCAAGATCGCGAAGGAATATTTTAAGCGGTTCGTCATTCTTTGAATTTTCAATACGCATCTCAAAAGGCAAATCGTCATTCTTTGAATACATATCTCAAAAAGCAAATCGTTATTCTTTGAATTTCCAAGATCACGGAGGAATATTTTAAGCGATGGAACTAGGACCCGATTATCAAAAACATTACTGTAAGCGAGCTTAGTATTGAATTTTCAAGATCGAGGAGGAATATTTTAAGCGATGGAACTGTGCCCTTATTATCAAAAAGCAAATTTCTAAAACAATATTGTAAGCGATGAGACTGTGACCCATTTATCAATTAGGAGATGATGTACGTTACTCACAAAAAGCCAGCAACACACTACGAAAAAAAAATACTGGGTCAGTTGCTTGTGGTGGATAAGGTTAGGCTTCTCTAAGAAGACGAGCACTCAGTAATAATCGTCGTTCTAGGCAACGCATGCCATATGTACAATTAAGGAACCATATTTATTCTGGGTTGGGAGTCGTAGCTATATCCTAAGTATGGTGTATTTTACGAAGGTATTAACGAGTTGTCCCTCGAAGTTACTGATGACATAATACAGATATAGGTATTGTCCAAAGCACTACCTCGTGCGAGAGGGTCACCGGGGTTGTTTATTGAGCATCGACAAAAATGCTATTACTACAAGGTTGCGAGCATTCGTTTGCACAAATTTTTGTAAAGCACATCATCAGAAAAGACCAGGGCGGGAGGCATTCGTGTTATGGACGTCGGAGGGGTTCGTAAAAAGACGCAAAGCAATCTCATGTGAAGTTACTGCTAAAGGATTTTAATTTTTCCATTACAACAACCATTTGCCTTGAGGGCGAGGCTAATCCTCCTATTAAAAAAAGATTCTACGTCGAAGGAATGTTTAGTCATACAGGCGTGTATACGCGGGCAGGTGTGGTTGCCTTATGGGTTGGGGTGGGTGCGTATTCAAATATTCTTAAGAAATAATATTCAGATCAGAGGACAATCGTGTATCATCACTCGAAGAAGACGGGGTGTGAAGACAAAGCACATCTTCTAGTTAGTAGAGATGAGGAAAAATTGGCAATCAACATTATGCAACTTATGCTAATTTGCTGAATGATCGCTGCATACCCAAGCAGAGAAAAATAGATGTTTGAATCATAGATGTAAGTGGGCACGTCAGTCAAGGAGTCAAGTGTCTTAATGGGAAAAGGGAAAAAAAATTCAAAAAATGCGCACATTTGTACCAACTTATGGTGTTAAGCAGATGTATCATTCAAGCATAACGAGTTTTTTTGCCTTTATGCGGAGATTAGTCGTGCCGTAGCCATGATAAATAATTAATCGAAGCATTACGCGAGCGCGTGGAAGGGGGTAAGAGAAGCTATTGCGGAGGATAAGCATGTTATGGATGTAGTTAGTACGAATAAAGGTATTTTAAATTGCTGAAAAATGTACAGTGGAATTAGGTACATAATATCTGCTATGTGTGAGCTGGATAGGCGTATAATGGGGCGAAAGTCGTGGGGCATATTCGAATCAGCGAATGGCTTGGGTAATAAGGATCCCGAGGTGTAGCACGTAAGCGTATAAGAGTATTATATAGTGTATTTACTTTATGACCAGCAGTAACGTATCAGATTATCATATGGGGATATATGTGGTCATTTTTTTGCGGC